GCCGGCAGCGCGGCCAGATGGCTCCGCACGCTCCCGCCCCGTTGCCACGGCAGTTTTTTGGCAGAAAGTCCCGTTTTCCTTCACTTTTCCCACAGCACCGCGCTGGGCTTTGGGGGAGGGGGAAGCTCCGGTCCCCCCCGGCCCCAAAACAGCGCGTTCTCCCCCCAAATCTGGGGGTTCGCTTGCGCCATCGCCGGCGCCTCCCCCGTGGCTTCCGCCAGCGGTTTCCTTCCCACGGAGGGGGAGGGGACACCCCGAGATGCGCCCCCACGAAAATAAAACCCGGCGGGGATTTGGGGGCCCCAAACCCCCCGGGGGAAGGGGGGGCTTGGCTCGGCTTCCCCGCCCGCTCACGCGCTCCCGTTATCTCCGGTGTCACCGGAGCGCTGACAGCCCCGGGGGCCGATCGCTCCCCGTGAGGGAACACCCCGAAAGCGTCCCCGGGGCCCGGGTCACCTCCGGGGGGTGTCCGGGCGGGTTTTGGGGTGCGGGCAGAGGGGCTTTGTGCCCACGCCGTTCTGGGGGGCTGGCCGGCAGCTCCGGCCAGGCGGTCGCGTTTGGGTCAAACCGGGCTTTTGGGCGCTGAATCCCCGGGAGAGGAGCCGAGCCGGGGCGGGGCGGGGGTGGCCGTGTCCCCTCCCGGGGACGGGGTGACACGGCGCTGTCCCCTTCCCACCCTGCCGGCCCAGCCCGAAACCGCGGCGCTTGCGTCAGGTATCAGGGGCGGCTCCCGGCCGGGCCGGGCGCGGCTCCGCCGCTCCGGACTTCGCTCCCGGCTCCTCCCGGAGCCGCCGGGATCCGCGGCCGGGCCCGGCTGAGCGTCGCCTCGCTGTCCCCGCAGCCGGGCGCCGTGGAGGGCAAGGGCGGCGGCAAGGCCAGCATGCTGCGGGGCCGCAACGCCGGCACGGCCGCCGAGGAACAGCCCCACATCGGCAACTACCGGCTGCTCAAAACCATCGGCAAGGGCAACTTCGCCAAGGTCAAGCTGGCCCGGCACGTCCTGACCGGCAAGGAGGTGAGTGGCACCCCCCCGGCGAGGGGACGGCGCTCGGCGGGGCCTGGGTGACGCCGCGGGGACGGCGGCAGCCCGTGGGTGACACCGCGTGCTGTGGGTGTCACCGTGGTGCGGGGACAGTTCTGGCTTCTGGTGCTGCTTCTGGAAGTGCCACCGCAGTGTGGGGACAGGTCTGGGTCCTGGTCCTTGCCCTGAGAGTGCCGCCACGGTGTGGGGACAGCCCTTGTTATCAGAGTGCCACCACAGTGTGGGGACAGCTCTGTGTCCCAGTCCTTGCCCTGAGAGTGCCGCCACGGTGTGGGGACAGCCCTTGTTATCAGAGTGCCACCATGGTGTGGGGACAGCTCTGTGTCCCAGTCCTTGCCCTGAGAGTGCCACCACAGTGTGGGGACAGCCCTTGTCAGAGTGCCACCATGGTTTGGGGACAGCTGTGTGTCCTGGTCCTTGCTCTGGGAGTGCCACCACGGCCCAGGGATGGGTTTCCTGTCCCTAGCCACAAGTGCCACCACAGTGTGGGGACAGGTCTGGGCTCCTGGTCCAGGTCCTGTGGGTGTCCCCGCAGGGACCGACCCGTTGTCCTCATCCCATGGGTGGCACCGCGGTGTGGGGACAGCTCTGGCCTCTGGTCCCTGCCCTGGGAGTGCCACCTGGCACAGGAAGGAGTTTCCTGGTCCTCAGCTGTGATTGACACCGTGGTGTGGGGACGGTTCTAGCTCCTGGTCCTTGTCCTGTGGGTGCCACCACGGCGTGGGGACACTTCTGGGTCCTGCTCCGTGCCCTGGGAGTGCCACTGTGGCACAGGGATGGTCCCAAGCTCTCGGTCCTCATCCCATGGGCGCCACCACAT